GCGGCTTGGGCCAGCCCGTGCCCTGCCCCGCCCCCCAGCTACATTTGCTTGTAAAGTACGTAACTTTCTGTGACACGTCAGGGGTTGTGCGCTCTCCAGTCTATCACAGCGGTAGGTGCGCGCCTCAGTCACACCTACCACATTTAATAGCAGATTAATTATTATTATTAATTCCCAGGTGTCAGCGGCGGTCTGCAGCGTTGGGACACGTCTCCTCTGCTGCTTTGCTCCCCCCCTGTTTTACCATCCCCGTTTCCATTCATTGTAACATTGTGTTTTTGTTTTGTGCCGCTGCTTCCCTCTGACCCGTTCTGCCCCCACCTCCTCTGTGGCCCCGCTTCCATCCAGCGGTCGGTGCTGCGCTTGCCCCCCCCCCTCCCATTCTTGTCTGTCAGGCACGGAGGGCTGCTGAACGGAGCGGTTGTGGTGCAGTGGGAGCTAGTATTTTAAATTAGTATCTTCAAATTGCAAGTTTTTAATTTTGTTTTACCAATGTCTGAAAATAAACTGAATGTACTTTAAATGGAACCTTGGCCTGTCCTATTACTTACCTGTGTGCCTTGAGGAATAGTTCCCTATAACTAAAAATAGGGTGGCGGTGTTGCAACCACTACTCTCATTTAGAAGTTACTCTAAATTACCACCAGCTAAGGCTTGGTACCACGACACCTGTTTGTAGAGACCCCCGATCTTTGCTCTGCTGTCCCCCCTGACACTCATGTCATCCTTCAGAGCATGCAGTGTAGTCAGGAGGGTGGCGTATGCTGCAGTGACGCGCTTGATGGACATGTCACGGATACACCACCGTGTCGGGCAAAGGCCTAAGATGTTCACAATAACCTCATCACAGCCGAAAAACGATTGATATAGATGTTTTCGCTTCAATGACTCTCTCAAGATAGATGAGACTCCATGAACAAAGTTCAAAGTATCAGCCACAAGACTTACTTCACGCGCAGCTTTTTGAAGAATCAAGTCCAGTGAGTGGTTGCTGCAATGTACATAAAGTGAGTGCGGGTTAACCTCTTTAAGCCGAGCTTGAACGCCTGAAAAACACCCAGACATATTAGCAGCTCCATTAAAACAAAATTCTGCGACGCGTTCAATGGGGAGGTTCAATCTTAAAAATACATCCTTAATGCAGCTGAAAAGAGTTTCTCCAGTACTGTCCGGGGCATTATAAAATCCCAAAAAAACAGTGTGAGGCTCAAAGCTCCGGTCAACATATTTCAGGCTGCACAAGAACTGTTCTGTGGTGCTGTTATCAGTTGTGCCATAAGCGGTGAGGCCGTAATATCGGCAGTGAGATGAGCGGGCAACAATTTCCCTCTGTATAGCATGAGCAAACTTTTCAATAATTTCATTCTGCACAGTGTCTGAGAGCCAATTGTCTCTTCCCTCTATCCACTTACTTTCCTCAGGAAGATCATAGGTGCGCTCCAGCATTAATTCATACAGTATTCCATCACGGGTTCTGTCACCTCTGAAGGCAATTCCTTTGCCACCAAGGAATCGAATGGTCCTGAAGAGAAGCTCCAAACAGTGTCGAGCAGTAGCTTGCTTTCTAGCATGAGCGCTGGATAAACGAGCATCTATGGGGACGTCATCCAAAGCCGCTATTTTTCTTACTGATTCGTTGTGCAACTCTGATTTCTCATGCTCGTTAAATTTTTCTGTGGCTTTACGCCAATTGGAAAAGCCGGTACTAAAGAAGGGATTGTCTTTTTTGAATATGTCTCTCGGTGTGATTTTTTGTGAACTGCTTTCAGGCAAACAAAACAGAAAACGTGATCTGTCTCTTTGACATAATGCAGCCACTGCCATCTGGTAAACCACGTCGGTGCCACAGACCGTGAAAAGGTTTCTTTACCACAACGCCGTGAGGGAAACTTGAAACTGGATGTTGGCTGGAAGGGTTTATCTAATCCGATCACACAGGGCAGGCCCGGGCCCGGCAGGGATGCGGGAGCTGGGGCTGCTGGGTGTGTGTTTGGCGGTGCATCACTGGGCAGAGGCAGGTGGATAGGCCCAGACTCGTTGCTCTCGCTTCTGTCCTTTGTCACGGTGGTGTTCTTTTTCGGAGCTGGAGGGTTTCCAAAAAAATCTAAAATTTGTTTTTGTGCCATGTTTTTCTCATTGACTGTTTTTCTGCTGTGGAATTATTTACTCTGCTGCTACAGCTAAGAGCGGGAAACCAATTGTCAGCGTAACTTCCTGCATGTTTAGGCCCTATAATAATTACATACAAATTTGAATACACAGCCTACCTGTGTCAAATCACTTCCCAAAATATGAATAAATGTATTAGTTGTGCTAAATATATTTTATTTTTATTTTTTTTCCATATCTCCCCTCTCCCAGCAGAGGGTGCTGTAGCACCCCCAGCACCCCTCCTTCCCGCGGCCCTGCCTGCTCCTCCTCGCAGGAGCAGTGGACACTACAGTTTTTTCTGCTAAACGCAAACAAAACTGAAATGATTGTCTTTGGTCCCCAGAAACAAAGAGAGAGCGTCATCTGTCACCTACAGTCTCTCTCCCTAAAACCTTCAAAACAAGGTCAGAAATCTAGGGGTAATACTGGACTCAGACTTAAATTTTAATAGCCACATTAAATCAGTAACATCAGCAGCTTTTTACCATCTAAAAAACATTGCCAGGATCAAAAAAATAGTGTCTAAAGCAGACCTGGAGATTTTTATCCATGCATTTGTCTCCAGTAGGTTAGACTACTGCAATGGCCTGCTCACAGGTCTGTCCAAACAGGCTGTAAAACAGCTGCAGTACATTCAAAATTAGGGATGTAAAAAACTATGAATTTTCGTGACTGACCACCGAGCCTCATTAACTGGTTGAAACCGGTTAACCGCGTAGTTTAAAATAGTCCACGTTTTTTGAAATAACAGCCATTTCGAGCCGCGTACTTTTCACAAGAGCAGCTGAGCGTTCTACTGGATCAGAGCCGAGACAGCGGCGCCAAAACCCGCAACAGCTTCGGCACCTTTGCGCACAGTGAACTGCTGTTTTAATCTTCCCATTCTGCTGTACTGCGGGTTAAAGCATTTTTAAACAAAAGACGGCTTGTTCACATGGTCAGGGCAGCGAGTGACGAGCCGCGTCTCGCAGGTCTCCGCTAAAGTTTAAAAGTGATCAGTGTGGAGCTGATGCCAAGGACCATCAGCACAAACATGGTCCATGTGGTTTGACTGGAGCCACGTATTTGCGAGGATCCTTTGGGCTGCGTGACACAGAGGAGCGCGACAGACCGGTATGTGTGTACAATACATGTATGTGTGTATGTGTGTGTGTGCAATACATGTATGTATGTGTGTGTAAATGTAAGCTCCAATGTAGTTCTGACCCGCACCAGTGTGCAACTAGCAGGCGGTAACAGAGGGGAGAGATGATGCGTGTGGACGTTACGTATCGAAAGTGTGTGTAGGCTAGTGTGTCTGTGCGCGCGTGTGTGCATGTGCATGTGTGCGTGCATATGTGGCGTGTGCGGCATGAGTCGGCCCAGAGTTTACTGATACATTGGCACACACAGCTAGAGACAGACCCGCTCGTCTCATCGTGCAAATAGAGCTTAAAATAGCGTTATGAAAAAACCTCCCCTCTCCCCTTTTTCTTTTTTTTAACCGACAGCTTTGACCGGTTAACGCTGTGACGGTCAACCACCGGTTAAACGGTCACCGATTTACATCCCTTTCAAAATGCAGCAGCTCGAGTCCTGACTAGAACCAGGAAGTACTGTACGACCACATTAGTCCGGTCCTCAGGTCTCTGCACTGGCTTCCTGTGGCTCAGAGAATAGACATTAAAACAGCTCTGCTTGTGTACAAGTCTCTCCATGGCCTCGCACCAAAATATATTAGTGACATGTTAGTCCCATATGAACCAGCCCGGACTCTGAGGAGCACAGGGACTGGACTCCTGTTAGTGCCCAGAGTCAGAACTAAACATGGGGAGGCTGCTTTTCAGATTCATGCTGCTAAAATCTGGAACAGTCTTACTGAAGATGTGAGACAGGCCTCCTCTCTGACAATGTATAAAACCAGGTTTAAAACGGTTCTGTTTAGCTGTGCATACAACTGAGGGATTTTATATTTTTATTTTATCTTTCTTTTTAATGTTCTGTGATTATGATTATGATTTTAATGCTATTTTGTTCAGCACTTTGAGTGGCCTTGTGTATGAATTGTGCTATACAAATAAACTTGCCTTGCCTTACAGGACTGTTGAGTTGGTGCTCTCACTATTACTATTATTCTATATGAATGTTTGCTCTGTATTTATGTTTACTGATGGGTGTGGTTAATAAATTACCCAGCTCCGCAGCAGAGTTGGTTGCGCGTAATAGCATGAATGGAATGCAGTGTGTCCAGAGTTGTTTTTCCTCCATATCTTTCGGTTACGTTGTCTAGCTATTTTATTTGGGTTCACGACGCAATGCTGCTGCTGGATCACCTCTGCCAACAAGGACCCATCTGCAGATGTCTCTCGTCACGACTGGAGCTGGAGGATGTACTTATTATGGATGAGCGCCCGGAGGAAACCCACCTCGACACCGAGAGAAACTCTACAGAGATTCAAACCTGTGACCTTGTTGCTGTGAGGCCCGAGTGCTTCTCACTCTGTCCCGTGTCGTATGAAACAGAGGATCAGCAGTGCCACACAGGAAATAAAAGACAAAAGTGGTCGTAGATGGAGGATTTCCCCAAATTTTACGAAAGAACCGCCCTTTCCACTTTTTGATCCAAACTCTCTGGTCTTATTTGACGAGCACGTAGCACCAGAATGATTGATGGGAGGACCAATAGTCTTGATTATCCACCCAGAAGTAGAAACTCCTCCTATACATCTTTAAGCAATTATTACCTCATATTTTATCATTTTTTGCAGTGTTGTACTTTTGGTTAGACTGATTGGATAAAATGTGTGAGTTTTTGTGTTTGTCACAATATCCACGGTTCAATATTTTTGTCAGCACGGCGCAGCACTCACCTGTGTTTCTTCTTGGCTTTGGCACTCATCTTCCATCTGAGGACACTCCCTGTGAGGACAGACCGGACAGACCGGACTGAGGACAGAAAAACCAGACAGATCAAAGACTTAGGCAGATGACAGTACATTAAGAAATCAGTTTAACCACATGTGACATCACTGCACCCTGACTGTGCTACTGCTGTGGTCTTTCTAACTATTGAATTTATTTATCTTATTATACTAAGTACTAACATTAGTACTTACACACATATTACTTGGTGGTATTGGGAGACTTTAATCTCATTTCAAAGTAATGCCACACTAATATCTTTCAGGGATCAGATTACTAAAGTAGATTAGATAAGTCTTTATTGCCTCTTGACAAAAAATATATACCTTTTGCCTTAGACAAACAATGGGAACAGAGGACCAGAAGAGGACAGAGGACCAGAAGAGGACAGAGGACCAGAAGAGGACAGAGGACCAGAAAAGGACAGAGGACCAGAAAAGGACAGAGGACCAGAAAAGGACAGAGGACCAGAAGAGGACAGAGGACCAGAAGGGGACAGAGGACCAGAAGGGGACAGAGGACCAGAAGAGGACAGAGAACCAGAAGAGGACAGAGGACCAGAAGAGGACAGAGGACCAGAAGAGGACAGAGAACCAGAAAAGGAAAGAGGACCAAAGCAAAGAAAATGGTCCAAACCAAGCGCCTACACCACCTCTGATGCTGTGACCTTAATACTATTGTCAGCTTCTTTTATAAGTATGTATTTATTTGTTTTGTTTGTTTGTTTCTGCTGCTGGACACCTGAATGGCTCCTACGGTGATCATTAAAGTATCCATCTATTTGATATTAATAATACAAATAATAATAATAATAGTGCATTGGTTTTATATAGCGCTTTCTGGACGCTAAAAGGTGCTTCGTTTTTCTTTCACTCTAAACACAGTAGTGATAAACTACTACTGTAGCCACAGCTGCCCTTGGGCACACTGACAAGTCTTTGCCAAGTTACAACCAATGCTCTCGTTAAAAAATGTCTAAATCCTAAAGAATAAAAATGGTATTTCACTAATACCCTGTGTTCACTGACATTTTCAACACCTCTCTGCAGTCCTGCCATGTCCCGGCCTGCTTCAAATCCTCCATCATTGTCCCCGTCCCGAAGAAGCCCAGGATCACAGGACTCAACGACTACAGACCTGTAGCACTTACGTCTGTCGTCATGAAGTCATTTGAACGCCTGGTTCTCTCCCATCTCAAGTCCTTCACCTCCCCCCTCCTGGACCCCCTGCAGTTCGCCTACAGAGCCAACAGATCTGTAGACGACGCCATTAACCTGGCCCTCCATCACATCTTACAGCACCTGGACTCCCTGGGTTCCTATGCCAGGGTCCTGTTCGTGGACTTCAGCTCTGCCTTCAACACCGTCCTGCCATCCCTGCTCCAGGACAAGCTCTCCCAGCTCAACGTGCCCGATTCCACCTGCAGGTGGATCACTGACTTCCTGACGGACAGGAAGCAGCGAGTGTGCCTGGAGAAGAATGTCAGAGGCTACAGCGCATTGTGCGCTCTGCAGAGGAAGTGATCGGCCGCAGCCTTCCATCGCTGCAGGACCTGTACGTCGCCCGAGCTCGAGGCCGGGCTGGTCGTATCACAGCCGACCCCTCTCACCCTGCACATGGACTATTCCAACCACTCCTCTCAGGCAGGAGGCTGCGGTCCATCAGGACTAGAACCTCCCGCCACAAGAACAGTTTCTTCCCCTCTGCTGTTGGACTCTTGAACACTTCTTAACCTGTCCCCCCGCCCTCTAGAAGTCCCCTACTGCTCTTCATAAAGTCCCCTCACTGCCCTTTATAATGTCACTTTACCTCAGTGTACTGGTGTCACCTTACATTGTGTGCACCATGTGCACTTGTATATAGTAATTGTAACTCTATTTTAAATTTATACCTTAGAAGTGCTTTTATTCTTTATTTTTTATTATGCCTCTCCACCCTTACCTCTCATTCTGACTGTTGCTCTGAGCCAAAGCAATTTCCAAGTCTGTGACTTCCTGTTACTTACGTGGCAATAAAAATGATTCTGATTCTGATTCTGATACACAGGATTTACTGAAGTCATAACTTCAATTCCATATATTTTTGTTCAGCCCTAAATCACAAAAGTTGTTTTCTCCGAGGACTAAACACAGATGAGAAAATCAATCAGTTCAACCACAGGAAATGCAATGACCACACACACAGAGAGCCACTGACGTCCTACACAATATAGAATAAAAAGTCAGGACGTCATACACAAAGTTATTCTGAATCATTAGCAGCGCGTGCCTCACCTGGTGTGGTCGCGAGCCCTGAGCAGTGGCAGGAGGAGGAGAGCGCGTACTTTATAAAGAAAACATGTGGACCAATCACAGGCCAGCACAGGCGCGTCCCAAAATTCCCGGTTTAATTTCTTGCGCACGTCCTTCTCACGTCGTGTTTGTCAGAAAACAAAACTCACTCAAGTTTCATTAGTGCGAAACAGAAACGTAACAGGAGCAAACAGCTGCAGTTTTTTTGTATAGCACAACTCAACACATGTAAGAAGTTTAAGATAAAATAAGAAGAGAGACATCATCCTTTTTGACTGTCACACACGACACACTGGTGGTTTTTCTTTTGTTGTCAAGGAAGTTGTCTGTTGAATTTCCCAGCGTGGGATAAATAGTGACTTGCTACTCACAGCAACAAGATGGAGACCCAGGATTTTTTTTTTTTTACAAATTCATTCATTTGTTAATTTTCTGCCCCTTCATTAGTCCATTACTGGGTCAGGGGGATGACAATCAGAGCTGCCACCCATAGCTCATAGCACCAGTCCCTCGCTGATCCTCTGCAGGTGGTGGGTCCACAGGAAGATGGCTGCTACATCAGTGGTGCCACAGCCTTGGTGTTTCAGCGGGAGCTTCGGGTAAAGTGGGGTTAAGTGTCTTGCCCAAGGACACAACGACAGCAGACATTAGTGGGAGCAGTTGGAGTAGGTCCCGTGGTGGGTTTGATCCCACGACCTTCAGGCACAATGTCGCATTTTACGTACGTTTCAATTCCTTGTTTTAAAACAGCGACAAGATGCACTTCCCTTATGTTTAATAAATAAAGCTGTGAGCTGCTGTGAACCAGTTCTGAACCAGTCAGACAACACACCTTTATCAAAGCATTCTGGAGATGCGGATCTACACATGGGACAGAAGCCAAAGATACTTTACTGTGCTCAGACTTTTTATATCTTAGCCATCTAAAAGGGATAATGACAGGCAGCACACGTATGAAGGTTATTTTGTGTTTTTATTATCAACACTTTTTTTTGCTTTTGAATTATATAAACTATAACAAAAAGTATTCAGTGTAAATAAATTCAATGTTTTAAAATTCAGTGTCCAAAAATTCAATGTTGAAAAAAGTCAGTGTCCACAAATTCGTTGAATTTTTTTATGCTGGTTGAAATGTCATGCAGATGCAATCTATCAGCCAATCCTCCATAGATAACTTTGCCTGCAAGCTGAATTCTCGCAGTATTTGTGAGTTCACAAACACTCAAGAATACATCTTGCCCCGCTCCCGCCAACCCTTTTCGAGTAGAACATCTAGGTGTTCAAGCCAATCACGCGCCAGTCTGGGGGTTTAGGGCGGGATATCCGGGTTTGACGAAAGCAAGAAGTGCCGGGCCGAAGCAAAACAAACATGTGCTACGCAGGAGGACGGACGCGTAGCTGAGGCTATCAAGTCAGTTTTAGCAGAATCTCCAATTTCTTTTTTGAAAGATGAACAGCGAGAGGCGCTTTGTGCATTTCCGGACGGCAACCTTGGTAGGCGGGCACACAGCGTCACTTCGCCCAATCAGCTTGAAGTATTCTGCTGCTTATCCCTCCTTTCCCCGAAATGATTCTCCTGCAGAAGTCCCAGATTGATATCGTGGAGAACGCATTAGAGTTCTACACAATCATCAATCTGGCTCTTGCCAGGTTACTCCATAGATGTAGCCGGGCCAGAACACGACTTTGGCTTTATCCGAATGTCCACACTATACCATATTCACTCACTCACTACATAGTGCAGGACTATGGTGAGTGAGAGACTGAGTGAGTGGACTCATTCTGATGACGAATTGGACGCTGCACACTATTTTCAGGCCGTGCTGTTGTACGTGAGCGTCCCGCAGTAGCATGGATCACGGAGCGGAGAGAGGAGCGGCCATGACAAGGTAAAAGTAAAATTTGAATTTACGTTTTAATTAGGACATAACATCTCCCCGTGTCTGCGTAGGTTTCCTCCGGGTACTCCGGTTTCCCCTACCACTAAAAATATGTCCAATAGTTCTAGCATGTGCCTCCTGTACTGGCCCCTCCCATCTCTGTGTGGAGTGAGATACAAATGCCCATAATTGATTGACTGCGGAACCTTCCGCAGTCAACCATTGGTTTTGTATTTCTTTATTCCGTCATTTTTTTTGACACGTTTCACAGCTTTCACATTTTCAACAATTTCCACAAGTTATACATCAAAACGTTCCACATGTTTGGGAGATTATTGCTATTACTTTTGGGACTTCAGCGATTTCCGGTTTTTCCGCAATCGGACAAAAATCTGCATTGAGAATTCTGCAATGCATTTTAATAGGCCCATGCATTTTAATAGGACTTCAGCTCTTTCAGACATTTCTACAGTTTCAATGATTCAACAGTTTCAAGGATTCAACAGTTTCAAGGATTTCAGCAGTTTCAAGATTTCAAGAGTTTCAAGGACTTCAACAGTTTCAAGGACTTCAGCAGTTTCAAGGACTTCAGCAGTTTCAAGGACTTCAGCAGTTTCAAGGACTTCAGTGTAATCATGCAACCTAATAGGGATTTTTCCATGTAAACCAGTATAATGCAACTTAATAGGGATTTTTCCATGTAAACCAGTATAATGCAACTTAATAGGGTTTTTTCATGTAAACCAGTATAATGCAACTTAATAGGGGTTTTTTCCATGTAAACCAGTATAATGCAACTTAATAGGGGTTTTTACATGTAAACCAGTATAATGCAACTTAATAGGGTTTTTTCCATGTAAACCAGTATAAGCAACTTAATAGGGTTTTTTCCATGTAAACCAGTACAATGCAACTTAATAGGGATTTTTCCATGTAAACCAGTATAATGCAACTTAATGGGGATTTTTCCATGTAAACCAGTATAATGCAACTTAATAGGGTTTTTTTCATGTAAACCAGTATAATGCAACTTAATGGAGATTTTTCCATGTAAACCAGTATTATGCAACTTAATAGGGATTTTTCCATGTAAACCAGTATAATGCAACTTAATAGGGTTTTTTTCATGTAAACCAGTATAATGCAACTTAATAGGGTTTTTTTTTCATGTAAACCAGTATAATGCAACTTAATGGGGATTTTTCCATGTAAACCAGTATAATGCAACTTAATAAGGATTTTTACATGTAAACCACTATAATGTAACCTAATAGGGGTTTTTACATGTAAACCAGTATAAAGCAACTTAATAGGGATTTGTACATGTAAACCAGTATAATGCAACCTAATAGGGATTTTTCCATGTAAACCAGTATAATGCAACTTAATAGAGATTTTTCCATGTAAACCAGTATAATGCAACTTAATAGGGATTTTTCCATGTAAACCAGTATAATGCAACCTAATAGGGATTTTTCCATGTAAACCAGTATAATGCAACCTAATAGGGATTTTTCCATGTAAACCAGTATAATGCAACCTAATAGGTTGCATTATACCACCAGACCAAGACCCAAACGAAGACTCAGACCACCACCAGATAATGACCACAGACCAGGTTTCCTTAGTTACAGGAACCAAATTGTTTCAGCGGTGAGGGGATTTTTCAGTTTCAAGGACACTTTCAATACATTCAGTAGTTTCAAGGATTTCAACTGTTTAAGAATTTAACCAGTTTCAAGGATATCAGGAGGTTCAAGGATTTCAGGAGTTTCCACACTTTCAACAGTTTCCAGGTTTAAAAAAAGTTTCAAGGATTTCAGGAGTTTCAATGTTTCAACAGTTTCAAGGATTTCAGGAGTTTAAAGGTTTCAACAATTTCAAGGACTTCAGGAGTTTCAAATATCTATCAAGTATTTTAACAGTTTCAAGGCCTTTTAAAGGATTTCAAGGATTTTTTTTAGCAGATTTCCACATTAGATCTGTTCCGCAGTCAATCGCAATGGCTTCAGCCATTGCAAGTTTCTAGTTAACAATTGTAAACCGCTTTGAGACTCAGATCTGCAGTGAAAAGGCGGTATATAAATAAAGATTAAAAAAAAAACAAAAAACAACAATTTAATTGTAATAACATTTGAGGTGGGAAATAGCCCTATTGTCCTATCAGAGGTCTGTTAGGTGATTAAACAGATTTTAAACAGAAGACGCTTGGACGTGAACTTACGGACCAGATTTAAGGTCATGAGTACTTACTTTTTGAGCACAAGCTCCTTGTCTCTTGAAATCCAACAGACCTGATCATGTCAGAGTTAAGGGCTTAAATGTATTCAATTAGAAGTACAAGTACTTAAATTAAAGCTATGAAACATGTTTCTCACGGATTGTGTGGTTGGATAAAACAAACGCATACATCACTTTTCATTGCACACAAAGAACTAAATCACAATTATTAAATTTTTTTCCAGGTTGTGATGAGTCCACCGTAGAAAAGACAGTCAGAGGCAGACGTCCAGGCACCTGCTGTTGTTACTGCTGCTGCTGCTGCTGCTGCTGTTGTTACTGCTGCTGCTGCTGCTGTTGTTACTACTGTTACTGCTGCTGCTGCTGCTGCTGCTGCTGCTGCTGCTGCTGCATATGTCTTCAGAAAATGAGATGTGTTCTAACTATCCATGACTTAAACAGATGAAAATATTGGTCGTTGTAGTTTATATCGTAATCCACAGAAGCTGGAGGTGATGGAAATGGATGAAGAAATGATTCCTCTGGAAAAGAAATTCACACAGAAAATCATCCATTTAAACAGACCTGGTTCTTTAGGAATTAAAATGAGCCTTTTGTTACAATCAGACATGTCGACATTTATGTTCATATACATGTACTGTCCCAGTCTAATTAATATAAATACAAATACACAGTAGTAGAGTAGAAACAGACGCTCTGAGGAGGAGCAGAAGTACAATGCCTTTACAAACACACGTGAACACTATTCAATAATTTAACATGTGATATCAACAGTAAATGTAAATACATTCCCAGTCTTTAACAGGAGGCTGGTGGAGTGGGATTTACAAAATATATATTCAATTAAAACCATATCTATCAGTCTGATTCCTCTCTGTAGCATGAATTGAATCCGTGGGTTTGTTTTCTCCCTAAAGAACCGATCCTTCATTCCTTCTTGGTTTCACTAAGATGTCAACATTTAAGAGTAAATATAGAATAATTAATCTGAGGTCGGAGGTCTAGATACATAAAAATGAACAACATAATTAACAACGACCCCTTAGCATGCTCTGTCTCTAAAACAGTCAACAGGTTTCTGACCGATTGAATAATCTCGTCCTTGCTGCACTGCTAGAATAATATACACATTGAAATTGGGAACATAGTAAGTACGTCACACAAGAACCGCAAACCCCGATGTACTTGGCTTTCCTGCGTTTCATTTTAGCTTAGCATTAGCAAAGATTAGCTTTGGGGAATCGCCAAAACGTAGAAGCCACCTGCGCGGAGCTAGCTAATGATAAGCTAAGGTAAAAACATGTTCAGAAAGTACATACAGTAGTGGTTTGTTACATACCAACTAATGATGTTAAAACGCACTTACCGGTTTGCTGTGGACGCCATGTTCAGATGAACAAGACAAAGTTGTGTTCTGGCCCTGGCTACATCTATGGAGGATTGGCTTTTTCTATTGAAGTGTTGTGGAAATTCTGCACATACCGAGAGTAATAATAATGTAAACAACTCAGAGCTGTAATTCCAAACAAAGTGTGAGTTTATTCATTAGTAAATGTGCACAATAACAGAACCGATACCAACACCACCTGCAGCCGTCCGAAATCGACTGCCACGATTGAGGAAATAACTGTACATTAAATAGACCAGAGTAAACAAAGACATATATACTCTAGATATTACATAAATGAAGTCAACATTGATACGTGTTGCTCAAGGCTTCTCTTTACGCGTCCTAACGCTGATACAAC